TCTAACTTTCCAAATTCCTCCTTATTCCAAATTTTAATAACATTCTTTGAACGTTTTAATTTTTCTGCTAGCTGATAGCTGGGGCTTCCCCGTAGATCATGCATACACCACCAGTTCTTTACCCTCTCTTTGAAATCTTCCACACGCAGCCACATATTCTCGAATCTGAACGGAGACCTTCCTCTGCTAATTCCTCCACAGTCAAGAAGGATGGGAATATGATCAGAAACAGCTCTAGCACAAGCCACCTGAGAAACGTTAGGAAATTTCTCCTCCATCTCCGCAGACAATAGAAATCTATCCAACCGAGACATGACAGGAGACTCACGACCACTAGACCAAGTAAATTGACCTCCTTCCATGGGTAAATCCAGTAAGCAGTGTGTCTCGACAAAATCTGTAAACTTCATCATCGCTCCATCTAAAGCCCCCCTAGAGGATCTCTCATTTGGTCTGAGAACAGCATTGAAGTCTCCCCCAATACACGAGGGGACATTCCATCTGCTTCTAATTTCTCCCAACTCCTCCCACAACTCTTTGCGCTCCCCATCAATCACTGGCCCATACACTCCAGGAAGAACCACTCTGACCCATCTTCTTCAATATTGAATAGGATGGACAACGAATGATTCCCTTTCCATACATCAACCTTGGTCACCCATCTTTTATCCCAGAAAACAGCAATACCCCCGGCTGTCCCTATTGCATCAATGACCTCCCAGTCCACAAACCTACCCCCCCATAAGCTTTTCATGACCTTGCCCTCTGCAACATCCAGCTTAGTTTCCTGTAAACATACAACATGAGCCCTCCACTTCCTAATTAACTCCTTCACCACCCTCCTTTTGTTTGGGTCATTTAGACCCCGAACATTCCATATCACAATGTTTAGCTTCATTAAGACAGCTTGATCCCTCCACCCCCTCTCCTCCTCTCACTCCTCTCTCTCCCTCCATCACTCCTTCCTTCATAGTTAACGTCTGAAAATAGGCTTTTCAACTCTCTCACTCCCTTCGAGTTGGATCCCATCTTCTTCTTTATTTTCTTTCCCCATTCGTCATCAACTGCTTGAAATAAATCCTGCACTTGCTTGTCTTCGTTTGCCCAAGTTAAACCCAAAAGCTTGCTTTCCCCCTCAATACAACTCATAAACCAGTCATCATTCACACCTTCCTGCTGCTCAAAAAATTGCTCCTCTCTATCCACTGCCAAAGGAGTGTGAACTTTGATCCATCCTTCACCATCTGCATCTTCTTCCCCAACAGAGACGGGAAGGTTCACAGTAAAATTGTAATCAGGAATGTTCTCTGGAAAATCGCTAGAAATCAGTGGCAAGTCTTCTCTGCCATTGCTACTGTTTTCAACACCCCCAAATGAAGTCACGTCGTCGTTACCATTAGCCTGTTCCCATTTTCTCCTTAACTCTGTTCTCAGTATATCCGCAGCTTCCCCATCAAAAATCATGTTAATCCCGCGTCCCACACACAGAACAGCCTTCCCGTTAATAGAAATACTGCGGGAACAGCTTGGTCATTTCACAAATATCACCATCCTTTGAAGATTCAATACTGGCAGCATTCCTGGAATCAATAAACCGGTTAAGGTTCCGGCCTGACACTTCAGTAATCTCCCCTTCACCACCTGATTCAGCCACCGACAGGAGGCGCGTAGAACCCAGATCTATCCCCCCACCTTTCATCTCACCCACATTCCTCATCCCCCCAAAAGGAGTAGAAGTAGAAGTAGTAGTAGGGGAGAGAGAAGAGACGGTAAGGAAAAGATCAGAGGACGTACCTGGAATTACTTCACTGGAGGCCACCCATTTTTGCTTCTGATTTCGCGACCATCTATCCCCTTTCGACCGCATCCGAACCTTCGTGATATTTCTCTCTTGTTGCCAAGCTCCCTTCCTTCCTATGATGCCCTTATTAACCTTATCAAAAGCCCTAATATTAGTCCCATATTGGTCAAGTCCGGTCAACACATCCTCCAACTGGGCTTCATCAGTTGTGACCTCAAGCCCTTCACACAATGGCCCAAACGGATTGTCCGTAGCAAGCCCAGTTGGCCCAATAACCGTGAAATTTTGAAATGATCCATTCAGCTGGAAACGATTAATAAAACTACTTCTCTGGTCCATTGCCCTTGCTCAGCCCATCACTTGCTTGGTCCATTCCCCCATCTAAACCCCTTTTACGTCTCCCAACTGTTGCATAACCATCACTTCTTTTTTCTCCTTTAAATATGGGCTCAACTTGAGCCCAACCACCAGAGCCCTTATTCAAGCGTCCACGTTCCCCAGCCCATTTAGTTGTGGGCTTAGAATAGGCCCTGCCACCCAAGCTTCGGCCCAACCTACTGCTTGTCCCAGCCCAGTTCGTTGAGTCAGCGCAATGACGTGTTATCTCAGCTTTATCTCTTCCCCCAAAGATTTCAGATGATTTTTTCCAACATGCAGAAGATTTAGTGCGATCATGTTTAGCAAATCTATGATTACCACACGTGACCCTACTCTCTGCCCTTTGCACGCTCCTCATCGGCACAAGGCGAGCACTTTGTCTTCCTCCTACGAATCTCACTGTACTCTGGTACGCTCTTTCCTTCAACCAATCCTGGATTTCAGTAGCCCCTTTCACCCCTTTGCTAAGAATCCTGTACCACTCTTCCTCTTTCATGAGGAAAGCCCCAACACTTCCTTCTAAACTTTCCGTAGTTGGCACCACTTCAGGCAAGACCTCTTCCCAAATTGAAACTCTGTAGCAAAAGCTATCACCATGAATGAACACTTCTTTCGGACAAGCTGCTTCCATTTTCACTGTGATTCGGACACTCAGCATCTCTCGTTTCATCGGCATCAGCACGCACAAAACCACCACATAACTCCCCAACTAAAACAAACGGAGCCTGACACCAGAGATGAAGAGGGAGCCCAAACAACTGAATCTTCTTAATTCCTTTGTCCTTTAACACACCTGAACAACCAACCCTGAATGACCAAACATCAAGTCTCAGATTAGCCGATCCCCACTGTCTTCGGCCTTCCTTCAACACCCGTTGAGCCTCCAATAGAGATGGAAATCTAAAGAGGAACAAAGAGTCAGAAAGGGGCGTCACACCCACTCCACATGAAGTATTCCACGCCCTTGCTGCCCATTCCTGAATCCGATCACATCCCCCTACATCTTTATCAAATCTCCCAACCAAACAGGACTGCAGCGTCGATCTTCTCCCTTCAACTGATTCTCCATCAAGATAAATAGATGGTCCTCTACGAGGTATGGCAGATTTCACAGACCCTCCCAGTGAGAGACGAGGGAGCCGAGCAACCTCAAGAAAATACCGTCTAATTGCAGACATGTACGCTGTTATATGCCTGTTACGCAGTGCTGTTAACAAAAGTGAAAAAATTAGCGGACTCCGACATCACCGATACCGACAAATACGAACCCCTCAGATCTGAGCCAAACCGATGGCGAAAACGATCCCTAGACGAACACACACCTGAAGGAGTCGCTGGTAGGGAGCAACCGCAGGTATGGATGAAAATGTAAACATCCACCTTGAAAAGTTATATTATAAAATGTCGTAAATTTCCTATTTTGCTCATTTCTAATTGCCTTCTTAATCATTGCTTTCCCATCAAATCCCTGACGAAGAAGAGTATACAACAATGTGATTGACTGCAAAGTCTTTCCCAAACTGCAAAAACAATAGCAAACTTTAAAGATGCTCCAACATGCAATTTTATACACTTTATTTGCACTTTTCTCACTCCAAAACACTCTGACAGTCTTAGTTTGTTGCCTTCATACTTCCAATGGCCACATATTGCCTAAAAAATACAACCTAATGGAAAAATTTGTGGTACAGGAATTTCGTAAAACTTATAGTTTGGGAACAAATCTATATATCTTCTCCTGGCTTGAAAATATAATGTCCCTATTCATGGTCCTGGAATAAGTTTGTCTGTATGCCGTGGACACTCATTCAAAGTTGTGAATTTGCTGTAACTAATGAGATGCACCTAAATCCTAATGGTGCATCTGCTAGTTCTCCGGCTCAAGACATGTTCTTATAATCTGTATCACTTGGTCTGCCTTTGATACTGACTGGGTTGCAGCTCATTGCTAACTTATATTATATGCATCCTATCACTCAAGACTGGGCAGTACCATGTCGGCTCTGATTCGGGGTCCATTGGTTATGCCTTGGTCTTCGTTAGGCATGATTGAGGCTTGGAGGGGGTGAATGGTGGGTCCCCAAGCCCGTGATTTTTGGAGGGTGGTGTCCTTGTGCGTTTAGTGGTGCTTGTGGAAGGAAAGGAATAGGAGATCCTTCGATGGGGAGGAGTGTCCTATTGAGGCACTGAAATTCTCTATTCTCCGTTCTCTATTTTGTTGGGTTTAAATTCATGGGGGCGATAGTTGATTTTTTGTACATATTGAAAGGCTGAGGGCCCTATTTGGTTCTTCGCCCCGCTAATCCCCTAGGACTCAAGAAGGGCGCCTCCCCACCCCGGGCTAGGTAAATTGCTGAGTATGGCAACGGAGACGTGGCCCCAAGTAGTTGTAAGCTCCTAGTGGGAATTGAACCCCAGACCTGGTGCTAAGAAGGCACCAAAGCCCAAGTAATTTTACCACTAGACCAACCCCTTGGGGTTACCCTATTTGCTCCTTGTTTGTTCTTCTGGGCTACGTTTCTCTTTTGAACGCTTCCTAATACAATCTTACTTATTAAAAAAAAAAGAAAAAAAAAAAAAAAAATTCCTTTCAGCCAGTGTATGTGTTACGAATATATGTTCTTTGTGCAGCCTACTAGGTGCATTTAATCACTGCTATCTCATTTTATGGCTTTTCTATATGAACTAGACATTTCCAGTTGTTATATACATTTGCCTATTATTCTTGACTCCATTGTTATTTAATTCTAATTAACAACGCTATGAAGGTTCACAACTGATAAAAGTGCTCACTTTATCCTTTCATTAATTTCTATTTCAGCGTGTTAAGGTATACCGTCTTAGTGATGATGGAAAATGGGATGATCAAGGAACTGGACACGTCACTGTTGATTACTTGGAGGTGTGACTATTTTTGTGATTTGCCTTTACATTTGTCTGATACTCTTAGATTTGTGACTTTTGAAGTTTGTTTCAAGAATCTATTAGTTAAAAGTACATTGGCAATTTGATTGAATGCAAATGTTAACAAACAGAGATCAGACGAACTGGATTTGTATGTTATTGATGAAGAAGATAGTGAAACTCTACTTCTGCACCGAATAAGCTCAGATGATATTTATCGAAAGCAAGAAGGTATTATTTTGTTTCTGTAATTGCATTGCACAATCATTTTTTCGAGGCTATTGATTGATATATGTTTGCTTTATTTTTCCAGATACCATTATCTCTTGGAGAGATCCAGAGTATTCAACTGAATTAGCTCTTAGCTTTCAAGAGCCTACAGGATGCTCCTACATATGGTAACCAGTAATTATATTTTTGTCTACTTTTCCTTTATTTCATTTATATTGTTCTTGTTTGACTTGTTTGTATAATCATTAATAATTTACTTGTTTTATGTAGGGATCACATTTGTAATGTGCAAAGAAATTTGCATTTTAACACTCTTAACAGTAAGTGTTTGCTGCAGTCACTTAATCTTTTTGAAAGAAGCATGGATGGTTATACTTCCATGTAATTTTTGTCTCTTGAATTGTCAACCCATGTGAATTTCCAAAGTCGACTGTTTCCTTAGAGCTTGGTATTATTATTATTATTTAACTATTGAGACATTGATAGTAGTTGGGGCAACTGGGGTCAATGCCATTTAACTTCTCTAGATGGTCCGCAATCTAAATTCTTATCTTATTGGAAGTGATACTTGAATGATTGTTTATATCTGCTGATTTCAAGTTTTGACTAGCTTTTTTGTCACTATTTCTAGTTCAAGATAAAACATCTCAGGAATGATCATTGGGTAATCCAAGGTGTTGAAATTTGGTTGATTTCAACTTAGAGATCCAGGTTTACAGATATAATGCTCCCTTCCAAACTTCCAATAGGACCTTCGGTTGAATCAGTTATCTACTACCATTGACCTGCCCGTGGTTAATTAACCATTATAGTTTCAAGAAAAATGTTTGTGGGTCATACTTATCAAAAAGAAAAAAAGAATGTCTGTGGATCCAGTGGTTTTAAGAATTGCTTTTGCCTGTCTGGTTTTATTATAATTAATTTTTATTGCTTAATAATATATTTTTAAACAATTACCTCAAAGGAGTAAACACCGCTCTGTGGCACACGGTCATATGACACACACATTGGAAAGGAATGATCTTGGTTTTATGAATGTTACCTTGTCTTTTGCCTATTATTTTGTAACCGAGTGTCTGTTGGGAACTTGGGAGTGTTTTGCTGCCTAAATTGAATTTGCAAGAAAGAGTTGAGAAAAGGAAAAAGATACCTTTTGCTGAAACTAGTTGTTTATCATGAGAGACAGAGAGAAGGAGAGAGAGAACTTGTTCTGTATTTCACACATACACACTTACAAACCTAATAAGCCTATATAGGCTTATATAAGGGATACAAGTCACCCTAATAACACAAGGGCCCTACTAACATAATGTAATTACATAATGGCTTTACATATATATATATATAACATTCTAACACTCCCCCTCAAGCTGGAGAATATATATCAAATAATCCCAGCTTGGAACAGATAGTTCTTAACCGGTTATGACCCAATACTTTGGTAAACATATCAGCTAATTGATCTTCAGACTTCACGAATGGAGTAGAGATGCTCCCACGCAATATCTTTTCTTGAATGAAGTGACAATCAACTTCAATATGTTTGGTCCTCGCATGAAACACAGGATTTGAGGCAATGTGAATTGATGCTTGATTATCACAGAACAATGGAGTAGGAGCTTCGACTGTCAACCCAAGTTCTTTTAGAAAATGTTGTTTCCAGGTCAACTCACTAGTAGTATGGGCCATTGCCCTATACTCAGCTTCAGCACTAGATCGGGCTACCCCCGTTTGCTTTTTACTTCGCCATGTAACAAGATTTCTTCTTACAAATGTGCAGTAGCCTGTAGTAGATCTCCTATCTGAAGGAGAACCAGCCCAGTCGGCATCTGTAAAACCTTCCACCCTGAGATGACCATTTGATTTATATAGTAACCCAACAACTGGAGCTTGCTTGAGATATCGGATAATCCGAAGAACAGCAATCTAATGTGGCATTCTAGGAGCTCCCATGAACTGACTTACAATACTAACTGCATATGAAATATCAGGTCGAGTGATAGTGAGATAAATTAATTTCCCAACAAGACGACGAAATCTGCCCGGATCATTAAATAGATCACCCTCATCAGACACAAGTTTTGTAGTCGAATCCATAGGGGGCGACCACCCAACATACCTGTTTCTTCTAATAAATCCAACACACATTTTCGTTGGGATAAACTTATACCCTTCTTGGATCTAGCAACTTCAATACCTAAGAAATACCTAAGTTTGCCCAAGTCTTTAGTGTGGAATCGATATTGCAGAAACAACTTCAACTTAGCAATGCCTTCAGAATCATCACCTGTGATCACAATATCATCTACATATACCACAAGAAAGATGAAGCCAGCTTTAGTGCGCTGGTAAAATACCGAATGGTCGGTCTGACATCTGTTAAGACCAAATTTTAATGCCGCCTCAGAGAATTTTCCAAACCAAGCCTGTGGAGATTGTTTCAATCCATATAGGGCCTTTTTAAGGCAACAAACAGTGTGAAGATACTCCCCCTGAGCAACAAACCCAGGTTGTTGCTCCATATAAACCTCTTCTGCTAAGTCACCATGCAAAAAAGCATTTTTAACGTCTAATTGAAACAGAGGCCAATGTCTATTAGCAGCAAGAGAAATCAAAACATGAATAGAAGAAATCTTAGCAACAGGGGCAAATGTCTCATCATAGTCAATACCATAAGTCTGAGTATAACCTTTGGCAACAAGACGAGCTTTTAAACGCTCAACGGACCAATTTGGAAGATACTTCACAGTTTATACCCAGCGACAACCAACCGGTTTGACACCTGGAGGTAATGGAACAAGATTCCACGTGCCATTTTGATGCAAAGCATCCATTTCATCTTGCATTGCTTTCCTCCGGCCCGAATCAGACAAAGCATCCTGCACAGTCTTAGGAACAAATATAGTAGACAGTTGAGAGGAAAAACATGAGAAGGATGGCGATAAGGAATTATAAGAAACATAATGAGCAATGGGATGATTAGTGACACACGAGCGAGTACCTTTACGAAGTGCAATAGGCAATGAATTAGACACAGTGGACTGTGTTGGATCCAAAGACTCTGAAGACGATGGAGGAGGCACGGAAGCAGATGGCTTTGGTCTTCGAGTGTACACCTGTAACGGAGCAGGCAAAGGAGATCTAGGTTGAAGAGAAAGTGAGGGAAGTGGAATTGTAAGAAGAGGCGACTCAGGAGTAATATCAAGAATGGAGTCACTATCTGAAAAATATGGGACGGACTCACAAAAGGTCACATCCGCGCTAATAAAGTACCTTTGAGAAACAGGACTATAGCAACGATAACCTTTATGAGAACGAGAGTATCTAAGAAATACACACTTTGTGGCACGTGGATCAAGTTTATCAAAACCAGGACCAAGATTGTGGACATAACATACACATCCAAAAACTCTAGGAGTAAGAGAAAACAAAGCAGAATCAGGAAATAAAATAGAATGTGGAGATTTGCCATCTAATACAGATGATGGCATACGGTTAATTAGATGACAGGCAGTAAGAACAGCATCACCCCAAAACCGTTTAGGCATGCGCATATGAAACAAAAGAGCACGGATTACTTCTAAGAGGTGTCAATTCTTACGTTCTGTAACTCCATTTTGTTGAGGAGTATAAACACATGAATTTTGATGAATAATTCCTTTATCACTAAGATATGTATGAAAGGGAGGTTGAAGAATATTCCTTAGCATTATCAGAACGTAAAATACGAATTGGACAGCCAAATAGAGTTTTGATTTCTTTTCGAAATTTTTGAAAAATTAAAAATAACTCAGAACGATCCTTCATTAGAAACAACCAAGTCAGGCGAGAATAATCATCCACAAATGTCACAAAATAATGAAATTTATTGATTGAAGAATGCTTTGTTGGACCTCATTCATCTGAATGAACCAAATGAAAAGGACTAGAAACACGATTATTAACCCTAGACTTGAAAGACACGCGATGGTGCTTACTAAGTTGACAAACGTCACATGACAAGAATTTCAAATTACTAAGACTAGGAACTTGACGTTGCAAAACTTGAAGTGACGGGTGACCAAGACGACAGTGCCACTGGAATGGAGACAGAGAAGACTGAAGAGCCACAGGATAAGGTGCCACATCAAAGTAATATAAGCCACCCGCTTCATACCCCGTACCAATCGTCTTCTTCGTCTTGAGATCCTGAAACACACAAAAAGTAGGATAAAATGTAACAGAGCACTGAAGAGATTTAGTAAGCTTATCGACAGACATTAAATTAAAGGGAAACTGAGGAACATATAAAACAGATGAGAGAGACAAGGAATCACTAAGTTGAGTTGTCCCCAAACCTGAAACCTTAGCGGAGGAACCGTTAGCAAGGGTAACTCTTTGAGGAGGAGGTACAAAATTAAAATCAGATAGAAGAGAAGAACATCCAGTCATATGATCGGATGCTCCAGTATCTATGATCCAAGGACTGCGAGTGGAAGACAATAGACATGTGTGTGCAGTACCTGACTGGGCAAAGGTAGCTGTGAAAGATGAATTAGATGCTTGCTTATAAGACAAAAACTGAGTATACTTGTCACGTAGGATAGGGACCGTATCTGATTCAACTACATTATGAGATCCAGAAGCAACATCATTTGGAGAGGAGGAAACTTGATTTGCATAACTATATGGTTTGTTATGAAGATCCCAACAAAAATTCACAGTATGATTAGAAAGGCCACAATGAGTACATTTTCGTGATTCCTTACCGCGGCCACGTCCTCCCTGTGAATCACGACCGCCACGTGTGGACCGTCCCCCACGACCTCCACGGAAAACAGTATTTTCACCCTTTGAAACAATCAATGCTGAACGCTCACCACTCTGCCCAGTATTCAAAGTTGAAGTATCACTGACAAGTGTAGCGCGCTAAAGTCTAGAAAATACTTTAGCAAGAGATGGAAGTGTGGGACTGCCCTTAATCTGTGAACGAAAAGACTCATAAGCTGATGACAAACCAGTAAGAAAACGGACAACATTAAAGTCCTCACGTTGTTGTTGCATACTTCGAACATCAGTAGTAATGGTCTGATACATATTCAGCTCCTCACAAACTCCCATAACTTTGGAATAATACTCTTCTATACTGTGATTACCTTGTTCAAGATTGAAATACTGCTTACAGAGCTCATAAACACGAGTGATATTACCTGTCCCAGAATACAGTTTCTGCAATCTGTCCCATATCTCCTTGGCAGTATCCAAATAAAGTAAAGTTGTACTGATTTGGGGTTCAATACTATTTATCATCACAGAGATGATCTGAGCATCTTCCTTTTCCCATGCATAAAAAGAAGCATCAGTTTCCTTGAGTTTCTCTTTAGTTAGATGAGTACCGAGGCCTCTACCTTTGAGAAAAATTTTAACAGATTTAGCCCACAGTATGTAATTCTTTCCATTGAATTTATCAGAAGTCATGGGAGACCAGAGGTGGGAGAAAACAAATCTGAACTGGAAGCCATGTTGTACCCAGCAAAACAGAGAAGAAAAAAAAAATAGAATTGGTATTTTGGCCAAACCTGGCAAACGGGCCGGATCTGGTCAAACGGGCCGGATCTAGTCAAACGGGTCGGATCTGGTCAAACGGACCGGATCTAGTCAAACGGGTCGGATCTGGTCAAACATTCCGGATATGGGCTATCGGGCCGAATCTGGGCTATCTAGGGTTGGAATAGCTATTCCAGGTTTAGTAAACCAAGATTGGAATAGCATAACCGTGTAGCCAAACAAGGATCTTCTTCTTCATACCTTCACAAACGCTGGTGAACAAAGCAGCGGAGATAATGGCGACCCAGTCACAAGCAACGGCCGAATCAAGAGACAGCAACCTCTGTAACTTCCGGCCAAAAAAAAAAAAGATTCGACGAATCTCTCCTCTGTAAATCAAGACGGCGGATCTGATACCAGATCTGATGACGAGCTCGCTGACAACCAAAAAAGAAGCTGCCGGCAACGACGATGACGAACGATGCAGATCTGACGACGACGAATGACGATGCAGATCTGATGATAGTGAACGAGGAGCTGCCAATGACAAACGAAACACCAACACCACAATCGCGATTCCGATCTTAAACCACACAATTACAGACCCTCACACCCATGAATTCGTAGAGCTCTGATACCATGTTGTTTATCATGAGAGAGAGAGAGAAGGAGAGAGAGAACTTGTTCTGTATTTCACACATACACACTTACAAACCTAATAAGCCTATATAGGCTTATATAAGGGATACAAGTCACCCTAATAACACAAGGGCACTACTAACATAATGTAATTACGTAATGGCCCAACATATTTATATATATATGTATAACATTCTAACAAAACTAAACTACTTTCTTTCCTAGGAAGTGACTTGCTATTAATATGACATACCTTTATCACTCATTCACAACTCTCACATTTATATATTAAAAAGAGCACGTGTTAATATTATAATAAAGGAAACTGAATAAAATCATTACATATTCTATGCCTAGAAACATGCGTAAATAAAGTCAAATTCATGATTTGTGGCTATCATATCTCAGATAATATGGTAAGTCACATCCCATGATTTGCGCCTATCATATCTCGGCTAACGCTCCCCCTCAAGTGGGTGCGTGGATGTCTGAGATGCCCAACTTGGAAAATGCATCCTTAGACACAATCTTGCTAACACATGCAAATCTGATTAGCGATGCTTTTCTGTCAAATGAAGTGCTGATCAACAAATCAAAGCGTCTCCTCAGACCATAAACAACCAACCATATGTCCTCAGACCAGAAATAACCAACCATGTCTCCTCAGACCGTAAACAACCAACAATGTCTCCTCAGACCATTTCCCTTCATACACATGTTTAAAATATATAGATAAAAGATTCAACAATGCCTCCTCAAACCATTCCCCTTCATACATATGTTTAAACAATGTAGATGAAAGAATAAAAAATGTCTCCTCAAACCATAAAAAAGCAACCACGTTTCCTCAAACCATAAAAAAGCAACCATGTCTCCTCAGACAATTTCTGAATGGGTAGTTTCGAACTTACAATGCCATCATTGAGGTTGGACAACCCTGCTTACTCCACACCTCCCAGATGGGGGATGTCTCCTTAGACCATTCTCGAATGGGTGGTGCCGAACTTGCAATGCCTTCATTGCAATCGGACCACCCTGACTCTGATACCAAGAAGAAATATAATATAGAAGAAAGAAAAGAGAAATATGTAAAAAGGTTTGAATGAGATGTAAAAACATTCATTCACAACTCTCATATTTATATATTAAAAGGAGCACATGTTAATATTACAATAAAGGAAACTGAATAATATCATTGCATGTTCTATGCCTAGACATATGCGTAAATAAAGTCAAATCCAGGATTTGTGGATATCATATCTCAGATAATATGGTAAGTCACATCCCATGATTTGCGCCTATCATATCTCGGCTAACACTCTTCATAGGAACATATACAAAACCACCCAAAAGAACCAAATTGACCACATCCAATCTCTAGCATCTTTTTATGAGTATTTAAGAATTCCTTTCCTTGTCTTCTGAGTTTGAATATGGTAAAAGGCTACACTTCCTATGAATTAAAAATTATATGCACTCCTTTTTTCTTTTTTGGTAAGTAATTTTTTTTATGCACTCTTGGTTGAAGGGAAGAGTGTTGGAGGGGGAGAGAGGGGATGGTGTTTCCATCATTTGTTATGAGGGTAAGTGGAAATAGAAGGAAAAAGAGAAGGGAAGTTTTGATTTGGGCCCACCATTTCCTTTCTTATTTTTTTTTTACATGTTGGCCCTTTAAAAATACCTGTGTTAATGAAGATTGTATTGGTAAACGCCTTTCTCCGGTTTTACCAAATATATGGAGGGAAACCTATTTCCTTTCAAGTCGATCTGTCCTATCACTCCTGCCATTCCTCCTAACTTCAAACCATCCTATTAAACAAAGAACTTGAACATTTTTTTTTGATAAGTAAACAAAGAACTTGAACATTAATTGATAATATATATATATATATATTTGATAAGTAAACATTAATTGATAATTTTATTGAGTAGATTTACAATTGTCCTCGACAAGTTTTCTTTTTTTTTTTTTTTTTTTTTTTTTTTTTGATAAGTAATAATAAATTAAAAAAGACAAGTTTTCTTATTTTGAAAATATCATATGATAGCTTCATTATCTATGCTACTAAATATCTTTTGTTCAACATATACAATCAATCTATCATTCAGCCATTGATCTCCCATTCAATTGTGTAGTCGACTCTTCACAACATTCATATCAGAAAATTCTCTCTCTAAAATGGCAGTCGCAGCTAGTAGGATCAATGCCAATGTTAAAACTAAATAATCCAATGAATACACCTTGTCCTTTTTTGTTTTGACCATACATTTTGCAAGATCACTAATCCCCCTTTTAATCCTTGAAACTTGCTACTAGAGTGGACGTCCACAATGCAATTCTCAAGTTGATCATCAAGTTTCACGGGGGCAAAAAAAGAAATTCTTTTGGATAAAATTGAGCAAGGGGGATTAGTTTTTTCTTCTCAAGCAGAGAATGAATCATTTGGGCACAAGCATGCCACACAAAGTAACAACTCCATATTCGCTTATGTAAAATGACTATTTAGCTCTTGAAGTTGCATATCTATGATGACATAAAACAAATCAACATGATAATGATGCAATTTGCTTTATGTCGTGGTTGTCCTCGAGTTAGAAACACATCATCCATATTATGAACATGAATTTCATGTTTGACACAAAAATAAGAAACTTGATCGAGTAAAGAATCACATCCACTCTCTCTCCTTTTTTTTTTTTTTTTTGGTTTTGTTTTCCATCTCTGGATGGCTTTTGTTAATTGTTACTACATTAGCTTTTTCATGTTCAAGTTACTCTTAAGATGCAATTAGCCCAACTTTTTCTTTCTCAAGAAAGCAAGCTCCACTTGCTTCTGCTTATAAGTTGGATTTGGGAATTTACTTGCGAAGGCAAGAGTCACTGGCTGGTGGACTTCTGTGCTCCTCAAACTCTTCGGCAGAATTCTTACATTCTATCATCTTATCTCTCTATTTCTATGTTTTTTTTTCTCTTTTTCTTCTTCTCTTTCTCCACACTCATGTCTCTTTATATTTATGTATGTAAAATAAAAAAGAAATCCTTCTATTTCAACAAGCACTCAATGTTGAAATTTTAGTGGAGAAAGGGATTGAACCTGTCGAATAGGTTTGTAAGGATAGAAGGGAGGGAGAATTACTCAACACCATTTAAAACTTGCTTACGAGTTATTCTCTTTGAATTTGTTCTTTTTTGAGCCTCTTATGAACTTCATCACCTAGAGAAAATTTTCTTATAGATATTCGTTGTTTGTCAATTAAATTTTTTCTTTTTCTTCTCATGAAAGCAATAATCATGCTGGTGCCATGGATAACTGATCTTTGTTTATGTCATTTCTGCAGATGAGTCATATCATAGCGTCAATAGTGAGTTGAGAGATTTGCCTTCTGTTGAGCTATCTACACTTCCTTTAATACTGAAGGTTTTTATTGATCCTTTTTTCTCCATTTTTCAGATAATTTAAAATTTTATTTTTTTCGTTATTTTTACTTCATCTATTTTTCCATGAGCATGGTATGTGCTGGTCGAGATAATTCAGACTGCTTATCATTTTTGTGGCATTGGAATTCTTGTCCAGCTGACTCTAATTGGATGATGTTGTTGCTCTTGTGGCATTAGCCAAGTCACTGACCCTTTTTCTATCTCGCTGGAAGTTGCAATTAGCTATGTGGTAAGAAAAATGTAAAATCTTGAAGAGGGCAAGTCACCCAAAGTGAAATAGGGGAGGTGGGGGGAGGAAGGTTCTTTGTGGAGGATTCTGTTGATAAACTACCAAATAGATTACAATAAAACCAGTCTTCTAATAGTAGAATAGCTTATAGTCCACGGTCTTTGCTTTCGTTGAGGGCCAGTAACTTAGCTTATTGACTTAATCACTAACTTTCAGCTTCTTTGTGATTCTGATATCATCTTAGGAAAATTTACTACTTCATTTAGAATTTTAGAATTACTTTTACTTTGGTTTGTTTGTTCTTGAATTCGGAAATTTGTTTGCGTTATTGTAATAATAGAAGACAAGCAACGGTGTGGGAGGGGAATATTATTTTATTATTATTATTTCCCTAGTTATTATTATTATTATTATTATTATTTTTGTTGAGAATTTCTTATACTAAAGAAATTCAGTGCTTGTATACCAAAAATTGGACACTCCAATTGCCAAAATGTGCTTCCTTTCTACTTGATAACATTAATATTACTACCTGTAATAATGTTAAATCTTAAAATTTCTTAAGTGGAATAGTGAATATAGTGATGATTCAATGAGTCATGTCCCTTAATTTTTGTTTTATGTTTTATGTTTTTTTAGACTTCCCTCAAGCCTAATATTAGAGTTATTAATGCCTTCCTATTGTTCAAACAAAAACCTAAAGGTGGCAGATGTAATTGGCGTAGTTTTTGAAATTCATGATAGTTCTTACTTGGTTATGTTATTTTCATTTTCCTTTTTTAGTAAGTAAAAGATTCACTAAGAGACTGCCAAGTGGGTGCGAAACACATGTTCTTGCCAAGTATGTAAAGGGAAACAGCAACACACAAAAACTAAATCCAGTGTAAAGAAGTTTAACCACCAAGAGAATCTACATAATTATGAAGATAAGTGCAATCCTCCATAACACTAAATGGTAAAGAATTCAGCAAGAGTTTCTGAAACTTGAGTAGTGGCACCTTTAAAAGATCTCCTGCTCCGCTGAAGCAAATACTTTGAGAAAGATGTAAGTAAGCGGTTCCCATCACCTGTCTACTGCTCTTCCTTACTCTGTTCTCTTGAAAACCACCTTGCAGCTCTGCTACAGAGCTAGACCACCTACCAGATTACAAACAGGTCAAACAAAAGATTCCACAGCTTTCAAGTCTCATTGCTTTGAAGTAAGAGATGATTACTCCTCATTCCTCTTAAACATGCAATTTCAGAGAACTTTTCCTCTTTACTAATTTTCCAATGGTAAGGATGGCTCAAAAAGTATCTGTCCATGTGGAAAAGGCCACCTTGGAAGGTAATTTTGTATGCCAGAATTCATTTATGATTACTAGGGTGCTCAAGAAACATGCACTTTCCTTTATTATTGAAATATGGAATTTTCCATTTAGTTATAGCCTTATAGGAGACAAAGTGTTAGTTTCACTTACAGGGTGGAGGTGTAAATTTGTTTCCAATTTATGTTTTGGCATTATTTTGCACAAGGTGACTCCTTTTAGACTCAAATCCACCATTTGTGGCAGCACAATTTTTTTTATCATTGCAGCAAGCAATTGCCCCTAGATGCATTGATGCATAGATATTTATATGTACACATTATAATCAATTGATTCGATTGCTTTTGGTCTTGCAGACTGTGATGGACAGTGGCATTACTGATCAGATGCGTCTGACAGAACTCATATTACATGATGTAAGCTTCCCGCAGACATATTTTAGTAAAAGTGATGTGCGATATACATTGTTAGAAATGGTTTGATGGCACTTTTCTGACTATGCAGTCTCAAGTGTAGAAGTTTCCATAAATAGAAGTTGTTATTCCAAGAGTCAAATATATGATGTCCGTAGTGGTCAAAAAGCTTTGAAGAGCCTATTAGTTGGCCTAGCTGGTTGTCAGAAGGTTGAATACATGTTGTACATGAAATGTTGATTTCAGTTTGTGAAATGCTCTTGCCAAACTTATTACCAACCATTATACCTCTCTAAGAAACTAACTGTGTAAATATCAAAGAAGGCTTCATAATAAAAAACAACTGGTAAATATAATGGTTATTGTAGAGGATTTGACTTCTGCTGTAGTTTCATTAATTTGTATGTTGATGTGCTTTGTATTAATTTTGATGTGCAATAACTGTATCCAAATTTTGCAGTTGAAGCGTTTTGTTCTTATTGCAAAAAATAAATTTTTTTGGGCGTCAAAATAAGTTATAGACAGTGTCTTGGTTTATTATAGAAGTTTTTGAAGTTATGTTAGAAATGAGAACTCTGGTTATTTAGCATCTTTATGCATTTAATTTGGCTTTTTATTTTTATCTTTTTCTTCATCTTTTCAATTTCTTTTTTGAATATTTTTTATTTTATTTTATTTTTAATAGATTTTTGTGTCTCTCATGACTCTGTTTATTTTTCCTACCGATTCATGTTCCTTGTTAACATATGATTAATCAATATGAGCTCTCTACAAAATTGATTGTTTGCACAGCAAAATTTTCTACAAAGGCTGATGGACCTGTTTAGAATCTGTGAAGATTTGGAAAATATTGATGGCCTTCACATGATATTCAAGATAGTCAAAGGGATTGGTTGGTATTCTAATTTTAACTATATTTTGTTGTTTGATCTTCAGTATTTGCTTCTCTGTGCATGCATATTTTTCTTTGGGCTAATTGACTTTTTTGTCTTATTTCTTGCAGTTTTGCTCAATAGTCATCAAATCTTTGAGAAAATATTTGGTGATGAATTGATAATGGATATTATTGGTTCCCTCGAATGTAAGTTGTTTGTCTAAAGAATTCACTTTAATTACCTTCTGAATAGAACCAATGTTTCTCTCTCCTTTTTATCTCTTAATGATATCAAATTGGTACTCTTAGTTCTTGTGCTGTTGAGGACTGTGTTATGGGTCTAGATTAGAAAACTTTCATTTTGGATTATTGATATTAGTCTGGTTGTACCTTGATAACATAGCTTTTGCCTCATGTAACAAACATCCAAATTTTTTTATGCTCGTAACATGTAGGTGGTTGATATTATCTTTTTCATTCTTACTGTCACACTTATTTATTATGGTTAATTGCACAAAACCCCATTGGACTGAATTTTGTTCTCTTTACCCTCTTGAAATAAAGTTAATCCCTTGAACTATTGAAACTGTACAAATATGGCCAACAACCCGTCATTAGGTGACTGTTATATATCTCTTAAAATTACTAAATTGCCATTAAGGTTAATTGTACAAAACCATCTAAAAGAAATTTGCATGTGATCCCCTGGAATAGGAATATTCAAATTTCTTATAGTTTAGGGATTTATCAATTCTTTAATAGTTTATCTCTTAATGGTAAGTTGAAGGAAGGAGGTGTTGATGTAGGAACAATTTGCTCTAATATCACTTGATGTGAAACCAGACAATTGATGCCAGTAATTGTAAAATCAGAAAACTTATTAAAAAAAAAATTAATTGTAAAATCAGAAAGAAAAATGGGTTAGAGAAGATAGAAGATGAGTCAAGTCTAGAAGAAAGGGATGAGATGACAGACGAAGGGGCTGAGAAGAGACATTGGAAAGATAGACTGGATAGACCTTTGTTGTTAAAAGTGCGCATAAGAGCCAAAAGGCGCATGATTTTCGCATGTTGAAACTAGAAGAGATTGAAAAGATGGACAGGATATACTATTGTTGTTGAAGGCGCACTTATGCACCAAAAAGGCACAAGGAGCAACGAGGTGCATGATTTTTGTCTGTTGCAAGCACAGGTGAGGCAACCTCACTAAGGCGCATGCTTTAGCGTGAGGAGTGCAAGTCGCAAAACGCCAGGAAGGCACGCCTAGTTGAATTGAATTGCTTAAAGTTATTTTGCTCATGTGGTTTTTAACCATTGGGATCATTGCGTGATCTTACAGTGAATTGCAGTACATATGATAAAAAAAACCTTTTCCCATAAATAAGAGAACGGAAGCACCTGGTAAGCTACAAAAGAAAAGTTAAAAAAAAACAAAGAAAAGGAAAAAAAAAAAAAAAATAACTTACTGCCATCGGCGACTACACCGGAGCTCAACCACGGGTGATTCATGTGATATAGCTATGTTTTCTTATTCGTCCTCATATTTCTCTTTTTTCTTCCCCATTGCACAATTATAAACCATAATTCATCTCCCTTGGAAAGTTTCTCTTCTCTCTCTCTCTCCGTCTCCCTCATCAGAAAAGTCTCTTTGCCCCTTCTCTGAATGCCATCTGTGTCAGTGGGGGTATTTTTTTTCCCAAATAAAAGGGTTTGCTTGGTTTTAGGAGTGAAAACTCATGCTTGGATACTATTTATTTATTTATTTATTTTTCTCTTTTAATAAGTGATATTTCATTAAAAAAAGCGCCCAAAAAGGAGCGCACCTGAGGAACAACTGCAGAAAAGAAAGCAGCACTGAACCCCCAAGCTATCCATACAAACCTCATATAAGTTTAAATTCTCTTTAACCCAAAAAAATAAAGAACACAAAATAGAGTGCTTTAACACCCAGATCGGTTCTTCGACACCATCAAAGGATCTCCTATCTCTCTCTCCACAAGTCCCACCAAATACATAACAGACTGGTCCTCCAAGCATTTCGACCTTGACTCGTCACTGTACATCCCCTCTAATATTTGAGAGCTTCCAAATTAGATGCTGGTGGCACCCACTGCATCCCAAATGCTGAAAAAAATATGGCCCAAACGTCTCTCGCTACTGGACAATGCAATAAAAGATGTTTCATTGACTTCTCTTACCTTAGTACATACACGACCAATTAACCACAATCTGGCGCCACTTCTTCAAGTTGTCCAGGTCAAGACCCAACACCACTGTCCTTCCAGAAAAAGGTCATCTTGAGTGGGGCTTTAGTTCTCTGCACTGCTTTCCAGCGAAATGCAACCTCCTGATCCTCTGAAGTGCCTGATAGAATGATCTAACCGCAAACCCTCCATGCCCTTCTTCCATCCAGCACCATTCATCATTGCCCTCCGTATCCATTGGCCGTTGATAAATCATATATAAAAGACCTCTTCTAATTTCCAATTCTGAATAGGTCTACCAAACTGCATATCCCATTTTGCTATGCCGTTATCAAGACGATACAGTTAGCCACTATGCCATGTTATCAACCGCAATTCCAAATAGTCTTTTGGATATACAAGCATGAGGTCTATCATCACACCAAGCATTGGTTTAAAATCTGATACGTCTCCCTCTTTACACTTTTTTTTGGGGGGTTAAATTAAGTAAGATTTCATTAGAAACCCTCAAAAGGGGGGCGCGACCAGAGAAATACAAAAGGCCCTATATCCAACCACCAACCAAAGATTCTATATTTTCAAACTATCTACAAGCTTAACTATCTCCCCCATTGATTTACAATTCCATTCTTTGATCCAGAAAACTAAAGAGCAGAAAATAGAATATTTCACAGCTGCTATAGGAGTTTCCTCCCCCTCAAAAAGCCTCTTATTTCACTCCCTCCACATGCCCCACCACAAGCATAAGGGAGTAGCCTTCGAAGCCTCTTGAGCTTTAGCTTGCGAACCAACTATACAACCTCTCTAAAGCCTCTAGCATGCTTAACGTGGAACTCAATGAGACCTAGAAGATGCCCAAAAGAGCTAGGAACATGTCCCACACTTCTCTAACCATTTGGCACTGCGAGAGAAGATGACCAACTGTCTCCTCAGTCTTCTTGCACGTGCAATATCCATTAACCAATATGTGGCGTCTCTTCCTTAAGCTATCGATAGTCAGGATTCTCTCAAGAGCCATCGTCTAATCGAAGAAAGCAACCTTGGAGGGAGTAACACCACCCCCCCAACCCAACCCACTTACTTATCATAAAGTGTGATGTTGTGGCTCGAATTTGGTGGCGGGTCGCATTGTGACCCGACGACCCGTTGGATGAGCTTTGTGTGAAAATTTTTTGATCTGTTTTTGCTCATGGGACGTGGACTCTAATAGGCCAATATATAAGGGCGCTCAGGTTTTGGAGTGGTGTAAGAGAGAGACTGAAATTCATATAGAAACAGAGTGGGGTTGAAAACTTGTAATCTCTGATTTTACACATTGTGAAGACTTTCGCTGGATCTTAACTGTAAACATAGGTTGTTGCCGAACTACGTATAAATCTTTGTGTTCTTTGTGTGGTGTGTTTACTTTTCTGTCGTGATTCTTGATTTTATCTTGGTTCGTTGCGTTTGACATAACATAAAGCAATGCCAAAAATCTGGTAATGTTGTTCATCTCCCAATCCTGTAAGTGCCTCTTAAAGCAAGTATCATTAAAGAGTGCCGAAACGGGGACCATATCCCACAAAATCACTACACAAGGGTCAAATAGGGCCCTAATCTCTCAAAATTTATAAAATCCCAAGAGATGATGACAATCGGTAATTGAGATTTGCTTGTCGACCGCAATATAATATAATAACTGGAGAACACTGGTTTGTCTCCACACCAAACATCTGTCCATAGATGGATGTGCCTCGCGGACCTCACCTTGAACTTGATTTGTTTTGAAAAATCATTTCACCTCTTCCGAATGAATTTCTAAATCCTTACACTAGCTGGACCACTCACCTTCGAAGAACTCAAACTTCCCTAATCTTCCCCATATTTCCTCTAAATAATTTTCCCCCAAAGTCTATCTCTCTCCACCTTGAACTTACACAACCATTTTCCAAGCAATGCTCGGTTGAATAAGACTAACCTTCAAGCCCCTAAACCCTTACTTGTATCTAGGGATGACAATAGGGTGGGTTGGGGCGGGGAACGCCATCCTCGTTTAGAATAGCTACCCCCATACTGGCATATCCGCCCCAAAACCGTTAAACGGGGTGGGCAGGGGCGGGTTTTGTAGAGTATTTTCGTAATTGTAATACGAATCTAATGAAAGTAAATAATAAAACAAATTTTCTATGATAATAATAGTTCTTTCTCTCTTATGCGGATAAAAACAAGATTCAACTTCTCAATTGAAATTTAAGACTAAAATTATTATTGGAACATCAAAATAATATATAAAATTTCTTAAATAAGAATAATACAAAAGAATATTTAGTGATTGGAATAGAATAAACTAAGATTTGCTTAATACATGTCTAATATTATTGAATATAAAATAAAGTATAAGGACAAAATTGTAATTTATAACTATAAACGGGGCAAGGTGGGGTGACCATTCCCCATCCCCGCTCCATATTTATACGGGTTTTCAATCCTAACCCCATCCCCTCCCCAAAACCATTTAACCACCCCCATAACCGGTTTAAACGGGGCGGGGTGGGGCGGGTACTAGACACCGCGGGGTATTTTGCCATCCCCACCTGTATCGAACTGTAGACCTTCTCCCAACTCACTTAGCGATAAACTCATCCCCAAACTGCCCTAGAGTAAATTCTTTTGAAGCTTCTAAATCCTCCTTGCAACAATGGCTAGAATCTGAAATAAAGACAAAAAGTAGGTTGGAATATTTGAAAGGGTATTCTTCATAAGAGTAATAAGTCTCATTTTGATAACTATTGTTTCTTCCATCCTTCAAGTCTTTTATCAGGAAGCTCCACAAATCGGATCCCAAGTAGCCATCTGTCTCGACGACGCTCCCAACATCATCCCCTATACATCGTCGGGAATGAACCTACACAACATTCTAGAAAGTTGGCCAAGGTATCTATCTCACCAACCTTCCCCATCGGAACAATTTTGCTCTCCTCTATCCTTTTCTACTCCAAACCATCCAGCAAAGGCCACCAATTGG